AACATTGAGCAATTTATATATGGCGATCATCAAGCAACGCTAATGCAGAAACAACCGAGACAAGAAACTTCGATGCTAATTTGGAAGGTTTGCCTTCCTGCTGTGAATTCATTGACAGCATGCAATTATATAATTAAAATTCCCTTGCGTACTTCCTCCTGATATTAATACGTGTTATTAAACTAGACAACTTTATTTAACACGCGCAAATCGACTGGAATATTACAGTACGTACGGCCATTGGTGTCCGAGGCTAAATACTGATTGGTCTGTGAGTAAACGCACGCTACTCACTTGTCCACCTCATGTTTCCTACTGAGGGGTATTAGACAGAAACTTCCGCGACTGTTGCGTTCGCCGAGCCTATCCCCACTTTTCTGCGACCTCCCCTCCCTTCACAAAAAGGAAGTTTCTGCGCCCCACTCTGTATGTTCATTTATTTTCACTAAAATACATACCAGAATTATTACAATAAAGTAGACAATAATTCCTCCGTAAATATGGCTAAAATATAATAGTTGGTAACTACAGTGAACCCTCGCTAATCAGGGTTACAGTTAAACTGAACGTCGGATAATCCGGATCAAAATATGAAAAAATCTGTTCACATTTGAGTACAGACTTTAAAAAACACGTTGGGTTTAGGAAGGCAGATGAGTCATTTGTCTGTTCAAACATAACCTGGCAGTTTCTTCAAACCTGCATCATTACGTTCAGAATCAAGTAAAACTTCTGAGTCTTCTATCGATGAACAAATGTATTGTCTTTTTATAGTTTTGAAATAAAGGCTGTACAGTGATATTTTTATTAATTTTCGTTGGCACTGCTTACATCATTACATCTTCCGTTTTTGCATTTAAGATGGGGGTAATGGCAGGAGGATGGACGAATGCATAATTTCTCTGGGCCACTGGTTTAGTGTCACTTGACCTAATCCTTCCAGCCGCACTATGGCCCTAGGATCCACTCAGCCTCTAACAAATATGAGTACCAGGAATCTTCCTGGGGGTAAAGGGCGGCCTGCGCGCACGGCTGAAAACCTTACGGCCATCTGTGAGCCTCCGCGGCCTGTTACAGGGTTTGCTTTACCTTGCAGACCTTCGCTTCATATTCGCGCTTTCTCTAAGTGTCCCTATCGTCCCCTAGATCGCGCAGTGGTCGCTGTTCGTGTGGCCCCCTTCGAGCTGAAGGAATTGCTTTTCTGCGGTTGTGGGCACATGTAAAGGTAAAATATTTCTGAGCTTAATTAATCGTCACTCCATGAAGACGTATGGGGGAGTGGAGGTATTGCTCTACATTCGTAATTTCGGTAATAAATTGAGTTGAGAGTTCAACTTTACGCCCTGACAGCTTTATCTCAGGGAAAATCCCCGGTACCCATTGTGTAGAAGGGATGTTGGGCCCGGGGGGGGGGGTGGAAGCTGCAACGGATATCAGTGACCGTTGCTAGAGTCAGGATATCTGCTGTTCATGTGAGAATCAGTTCTGAAGGTTTCGCATAAGTGGGCGTGTCCGTCAACGCACGTTTTGTTTTTTATTGCTAGTGGGGTGGGACTAAGTCCCTTGTACTGCGGCCACTTCTGGCCTATTGTACCAGCCCCAGATGATAGGTGAGGGTGATTGTGGAGCAATTGGTGGAATGAAGATTGGCAGGGGAAACCGAAGTACTTGGAGAAAACCTGCCCCAGCGCCACTTTGTTCACCACAAATCCCACTTGACCAGACCCGGGATCGAAACCGGGCTGCCACGGTGGGAATCCAGAGACTAACCGCTTGAGCTATGACGCGGCCCACGGCGCACATGTTAGTGTAAGTCTAGTTTAGCGAAGTCATTGTCACAGCACTTACAAGGAGTGACTGAAGAGAATCACCAGCATATGCGGTGTTTCGGCCGAGATTCGAACGGAGTACGTCTCGCATAAGAGTGCAGAGAATTATAGTTACAGCTGCCCGTTGGGTGAAACCACTTTCGCATGGCGACTCCGGAAACAGATATATTTCCCAGGGCAACCGTACGGAACTGTCATTATGTGTGTGCGCGTCAGCTAACAGACTGCCAGGTGCGGCTCTCCAGTGCCTTTGTGTGGGAACCCAGATGATGTAGGAGGACCCTCGCATCAGCACAAGGGAAATGAATCTGCCCCTCCCCTCTTAGTATTGGGTAGGAACACTTTAGCATCATCACCTTCATTCTTGGGCCGACAGCGGGGAAGAGCGGGTGCTTAAAAATGTAGTCCCCATTTCAGTTCATTGTTATACGTACTGTCCCGTGGGTTTGGATTGGTGACTGGATTTATTGAGCACATATACACACAACTCGTAACCGCATGTAACTATTACAGCCTCACTGTTTTACACACTCAGAAAATTACTGTAACTGTAGAATATATAAAAGCTGCTGTTTTCACTCGCCGTTTCCTGGTAACGGAACCTAACAGTGTCCTCTGCTGACATCATTACCAGCTGGCGAATATCCCACAACTAACTCATGCTCCAACTCTCTCGTTTATAAACCCTTGCAAGGACCGCGTAGAGAACACCGCTTATTTTTATAGTTCATTTGTTGCCGTGGAAACATATTTGTTTGCAAGCCGTTACTCAGCAACGGCTGCCGTATATTTGTTTATCTCGCAGTCGTTGCCTAGCAAAGGGTCTACTTGCTATAGGACTGTTTGTATAGTAAGGCAGCATGTATGTTCACACACGCTTATAACTGGCCTTAAGCCTGTCACGTGGCCGTTTGAAACAGAATTACATGTACAAGCATTTGGACAACTTTGGACAAGATTTCCAATTAACAACTTTCTGTAGACTTACGTCAGCATAGTGACTGGGCTACAACTTCGACGAGAGGGCAGTCGGGGCAGTTTTTCTCTTCTCCACCGCGTCATAACCGGCTCCGGGCTCTCCGAGTATCCTGTCCACTGGGTGGGAGGGGGGGGNGGGGGGGAGTAAAGGTCGAAGAATGGAAGCTGGTCACTCACCTGTATCTACTGGCGAGGTGAAGAATACGTGGAGCTATACCTTCGCTCCCACATACGTATTCGTGACAAAATGGTCACTTGAGCACAGAGACAAACAGAAATGCCTCAGACCCGTTAAGATAACAAGCATGTATCCAAACATGCCTCTGATTTCCTTCTTACTATTACTGCGTGAGGCCCGCGGTAGCGTAGTTGGTTGCGGCACTATGTTACAAACCGGAAGGTCGCGGGTTCAAGTCCCGATGAGATCACTGGATTTTTCATTTGACCTAATCCTTCCAGGGGGGGGGGGAAGGGCTGCCGGCGCGTAAGACTGACAACCTCACCGTCATCTGTTGGCCGATTGTCTAGAAAATATGGGAGCCTCAGCGTCTCAACAGTCTGTTACAGGGATAGCTTTACATTTTTCCTTTACTTTGGTGCGCCGTTAAATAATCCGACATAGGCAACTTGGGTCCTTACCGGAAAGGGCATGATGGTTACTGTCTTCCAGGATGTGACAGCCTTCAGGGTAATATGGAGGGGAATCTGTTCCTCCGAAACGTCGGTAAAGATGAATAAGGTTGCAGTAATCTGCATTGTGCACATGCTGTCAGACCCCTTTCGAGTCACTAAGTAGGTGCCCGAACCAGACTGACCGGTCGGCCAGTAACCTTGAGACGCAGCCTCCGTGCCCCCCGACGGTCTTTGTGTTGTATCATTGCACCCTTGTACGGGCATGCGAGGTGCAGGCTCACGGAACAATTCCTGTAATGTATTCTCATGTATACGGCATAGCTCAGTCGGTGGACGGCCGGGGTTCGCTTCCCTGCAGGAACAAGAATTTTTTCTCTGCTCCACAGCTTCCATACCTACTCTGAGGCCCTCCCAGCTTCCTATTCAATGGCCCCCGTGGGTTCATTTTCCTTGGGAATAAAGAGGCCGGAGCATGAAACTGACCACTCACCTCCATCTAGTGCCAGCGTCGAAAATGGTGAACCTGTGTCTCCACTCCGCACCACAAGATTGCTGTGTTCTCGGATGTGACTGGGTCGGCAGAAAGCAGGAACCTCCGAAATGCTGATAAAATTCTACCAGACTACACGGCATCCCAAGACAGCATTCCTCTTAATGAGCGTCGTTAGAACACGGGAACTTGTATTACCTTCTTCAGTCGTCTCATTGGTCGTTGCCTCTGTTCCCTTTTTAAGATACTGCTCTCACTGTCAAAAGGTAAAGCTATCCCTGTAACAGGCCGTGGAGACCCAGACGGTTGTGAGACGTCGAGGCTGCCACGTTTTCTAGATATTCGGTTCACAGATGGCGTCGAGGTTGTTAGCCTTATGCGCCGGCCGCCCTTTACCCTCAGGAAGATTCCTGGTACTCGTTTCTGTTAGAGACAGAGTCGACTCCATGGCCATAGTGCGGCTGGAAGGATTTTTTTTTTCCTGCCACTACAGCCCCAGTGGGCCTAGGCCTACTTCCATGATCGGGTGATCAGCTCGTCGCAAGGCCCCTACCTGTACACAAACACAGAAAAACACACACAAACTAAACATCCATGTCCTGAGTGGGATTCGAACCCACGATCCCGGTTTCCAAGCGAGCGAAGACAGTACACGCCTTAGACCGCTCGGCTACAGTGACCAGCGGCTACAAGGATTAGGCCAATAAAATTACCCAATGACCTCATCGGGAATCGAACCCGTGACCATCCTGCTTGTAGCGTAGTGCCTCCAACAACTACGCTACCACGTGCATTTCAGAATAGAAGTTTTTAATTTTAGTATTCAGTTCTTCTGCCAAGTTTGTCCTTTCTTGCAGAATATTGTACGGAAAATCAATATGCTGCGCAATACGCATGCGCAAACGGTGCGGTGACTTCGTACACGTATGGAATTGGAGATTTTAACAGCGGTGACAAAGGAGATTACTGTAGTGTTGGATGTGACGCCGTACAGCCTTGTAGATCGTTACAGACTTTTCATAGGATCATGGTGCATTCATCTTAGGATCTTTTCAATGGAAACAGTTCCCTAATAAAATGTTTCTTCACATTTTTATTAACTCATTCTGTAATACACGTTCGTTTTACACGACAGTGTCCTCAGCACTGCCTCCTGCCGTCTGAACTTTATGTCTATGTATGTTCTGCTTTTGCGGGATGGTGGATGAACTGTGGGGTTTTTCTTGGATGTTCTCCACTCTTTTGGGGAAACCTTTAGTGTCCCAGACGTACTGAGCCCCGAAGAGTTCCTTCGGAAGCGTGTGCCAATCAGGTGAGATCATCTGCTGGTAAACGAATGACTCGTCATCTTCTGGGTACGTGTAATCGTATTCATCTGCTTTGCTGACGTCATTAGGCACAGGCAATGCAAGGCACAGTCCCGCGCATGCAATGATGAGGACTGTCGGCACACTTCTCATGATGCGGAACTCTGGAAAGGAGCAGATTAACGTTCTTATATCATAAAGGGATATCCACATGCCCGAGGATCGTGAGTCATACTGTTTCCATGTGGGAATTTCTTCCCGGCATTTCCCGGGAAATTTGTATGTTGTTTTCCGAATCCCAGAGAAAACCCAGTCAAGAGATCGGGAAAGCGGGAAATCTGGGCAAGCAGGCAAAATATTTTCATCGTTAGAAAACGGAAATGAGCTTTTTTATGAAGCAAAATGTACCCTAGCCCCCAACTTGAAGATGCTTTTGGATGCACTCTTAACAATTCGACCCACGTCAACGCAAAATGAAAGAAAACTTAGTCTACGTCTGCAATATTCGTCACGAAACAAAGAACAAAACTGTCGGGTAGGGCAATTAATGTTTTATGTTTTTTCAAATTTAATTTTAAGAATAATTTATTTTAAATATTAAATATTTGTTGTATTATTTTTCAAATTTAAAATTGATTTTTATGTGCCATCTATTTTGTGTTAATGTGTTCTTCTTTCAATGTTTCATATTATCAAATGTCTATTTTAGGTAGAGACCATTTTTACATGTTACTGAATTATATAATCTTCTCACAATATATTGGTTCGTAATAAGGATAAATTATGAATTTATTATTATATTGTTTTTTACAGAAAAAACTCTGAAACATTTAGTACAACTCTATCACAGAACAATTATTCACTGTTTATTGTTACTGTCGCTCATTATTATTTAAAAACACGTAAATAAAATGTTATGAAAATGAAGGAGTAGCTTATGGTTTCGGCTATTCCGGTATTTCGCTCCCGAATCCCGATGATTAATTACCTGTCGTGAAGTGGGAAGCAGCAGTGGGCCACAGGTAGCTTACCAGAGTATTCAGTGAGAGGCACGTACTTGTACAGGAAATAAAATTTAAAACGAATTGGATTCATCTGGCTCAGGATAGGGATCAATGGGGGTCATTGTGAACACGGTAATCAATCGTTGTTCTGTGACTGGTTGCTTCGCAGGAAGATATCAGCTCCATGGAATGAATTAGTTAGTTGCTCCTGCTTCGCAGGAAGGTATCAGCTCCATGGAGTTAGTTAGTTCGTTCGTTAGTTAGTTGCTCCTGCTTCGCAGGAAGATATCAGCTCCATGGAATGAATTAGTTAGTTGCTCCTGCTTCGCAGGAAGGTGTCAGCTCCATGGAGTTAGTTAGTTAGTTAGTTCGTTCGTTAGTTAGTTGCTCCTGCTTCGCAGGAAGGTATCAGCTCCATGGAGTTAGTTAGTTCGTTCGTTAGTTAGTTGCTCCTGCTTCGCAGGAAGATATCAGCTCCATGGAATGAATTAGTTAGTTGCTCCTGCTTCGCAGGAAGGTGTCAGCTCCATGGAGTTAGTTAGTTAGTTAGTTCGTTCGTTAGTTAGTTGCTCCTGCTTCGCAGGAAGGTATCAGCTCCATGGAGTTAGTTAGTTCGTTCGTTAGTTAGTTGCTCCTGCTTCGCAGGAAGATATCAGCTCCATGGAATGAATTAGTTAGTTGCTCCTGCTTCGCAGGAAGGTGTCAGCTCCATGGAGTTAGTTAGTTAGTTAGTTCGTTCGTTAGTTAGTTGCTCCTGCTTCGCAGGAAGGTATCAGCTCCATGGAGTTAGTTAGTTCGTTCGTTAGTTAGTTGCTCCTGCTTCGCAGGAAGATATCAGCTCCATGGAATGAATTAGTTAGTTGCTCCTGCTTCGCAGGAAGGTGTCAGCTCCATGGAGTTAGTTAGTTAGTTAGTTCGTTCGTTAGTTAGTTGCTCCTGCTTCGCAGGAAGGTATCAGCTCCATGGAGTTAGTTAGTTCGTTCGTTAGTTAGTTGCTCCTGCTTCGCAGGAAGATATCAGCTCCATGGAATGAATTAGTTAGTTGCTCCTGCTTCGCAGGAAGGTATCAGCTCCATGGAGTTAGTTAGTTAGTTAGTTCGTTCGTTAGTTAGTTGCTCCTGCTTCGCAGGAAGGTATCAGCTCCATGGAGTTAGTTAGTTAGTTGCTCAGTGAGTGAGTTGATAAGTCGAACTTGCAGTAAGTAAAACGGGCAGGCGTTATAGCAATTAATACTACAGCTTACAAGGAACCTTACAGCAAAGTTTAATTTGCATGTCAACTTTTACATTTTTAAGTGTAGTGCCTTCATGACAGGGGCGGTTAAAGAAAATACTAAATTACTTCGTCAGCCATCTCTTCGTTAGCTAATCCCAACGCTGCCACCACTTTTTTTTAATGGCGTGTGGCGGGCGTGGAGGTTCGGACCCGCCTCTGCCCACTAACTGTCATTTGGTTGCCCTAAACTAGGATTCCCCTCGCTCTTCAACTGTTTCGTTGCATACGGCTGCCGTTGGTTGCCTTCGTCTGGACTAGGATAGCTCCGGATTTGTCTGGGAAGGGATCTGTTCGTGGAGGTAAATCATAACTCTGGGTTACATCCTACCCTAATTCCACTAGTCTATTTACACACATATTTACAGTAATAAGAATGCCGACGTTCTGTCGGGTCTACATAGTATCCTGACGTTGACTGGTTATCACTTCCATGATGATCTCCCACCTAGGGTTTATGACTTGAGTCTGTCTGTCTTCCTTCATCCCCTACCACTCGTTACACAGTTTCTATCCTAATGCTCGCAGGGCACACTGGAGATTGCACTTCAATTGTTTAACAAACAACAATAAAGTTTTATGATACGTGGCTAGCATGAGCAAATTGACTTACTTGAAGTAGAGACGCAGACGGTTTCCACCAACCACAATCTTGTTGAACCCATTCCGAAACAGGGCCTTCGGCAAACTTTTCGAAATGTTACATTTTGATCAACAGAAGAGAGAAAAAAAAGAGCCTTTCTTTTCACACCTTTATACTCTAAAACCGCTGGCGCAGCAACCCCCCCAAAAGGAAAGCTACCTGCTCCTTTTGCCCTAATTAAGGGTGGTGGTCTTCTATTGGTTAACCTCTTTTCTCACGGAAGAATCCGCGGCGTCTCATCCCTATGTATTTGGTAATTTCGTTCTCCCCAATGGCCTACTGAAGCGAGCTTTCTGCTGTGCGATTACGCACCTCTGTTGACTAAGACATTCTTGACAGAGTTCCACAGCCTGTGTGTTGCCATCCTTGCTCTAATCGATGTGAAACTCTTTTGCAATTCTCATAACATTTGGGCAATGTCTCAAATTTCCATTCTCGAAATTTGCGGCATAACATTAAGTAAGCTATGTGGACTTAGTATCTACACGTAAAAAAAAAGTAAAATTTTCCCTGTGCTTAATTAGTTAAGCATTAGGCCACGTAGATGTATGGAGGTATGGAGGTATAGCTCCACCTTCCTTGACCTCGGCACTAGATGGAGTTGAGTGGTCACCTTCCCGCCCCTACCGCTTTACCGCCTCCCGGGATAGAAGGCAATCTGGGGCCAAGAGCAGGTATGATGAGCACTGGAGAAATGTTTTACACTGCCGGGGAAGGAATCCGGGAGGTCTGGCCCGTAGCCGGTCGCTAATACAGGCTCCCCAGACTTAGCAGATGGCCGGTCTAATTCTGTGACTGTATAATGCTGCAGGTCAGCAACAGAGACAGCTCAGTCGTCATAGCGACGAGCTACCGGATGGACGCCTGGGTTTCGATTCACCGCAGGAGATTTTTCCCTTCTCCACAGTGTTCAGCCCAGCTCTGATGTCACACAGACTCGTAATCAATGGGTACCGGGGGTAAAGCGGCCAGGGAGTGAAGCTGACCTTTCATCTCCATCTTGCGCAGAGGTCAAAAATGGTGGAGCTACACATCCACTCCTCCATACGTCTTCATGGCGTGGTGCTAAATTAAGCGTAGGGGCTCTACAGCCCCCTTGGGCCCTGGACTTTGATTTTTAGTTTGATGATCATTTCACAGACGGTAGGACCCCTTGAGCGAGTGATCAGCCCGTCGCAAGGCCTCTACCTAAACACAGAATAAACACACACAAAACATGCATGCCTTGTGTGGGATTCGAACCCACGATCCCAGCTTCCGAGCGAGCAGACAGTACATGCCTTACACACTTCGGTTATCGTGACCCGCTCACTTTACGTTTTACCGTACCCTAAACAGCGGAATTTAGGCGTTATTAAAATCATATTTGTAAGAAAATCTGCACAAAGGGATGAGCCCATGTGCATCTGAGCTGAACTTCAGAGCTGTAGAGAACAGCATTGCTTAGAATAATGAGTATAAATTCGATACAAATTAATGTAGCATGAACTAAAATCTCACATGAAATTAGTCAATAAGACTTACAGTGCAGTGCTGTTAGTGATTGGCTCCAAGTCGCACTGCAAGCCTCCTCTGCAGACAGACCCTCTACTGCGTTTGATTAAATAGAAACAGGTTCGTGACTGTCCGTTATCTGATGTTTCTGTACTTAGAGGCACGGAAGAAACAAGAACATGGCGTCCGCTTACTCATCACTGTGCCCCCCAATTAAATATTGGCAGGCCGTACACTTGCTGCGAGGCCGTGCACAGGAACTAAACCCGGCTTGGGGCCGGCAGCTCCTGCCTCTCTGAGAATTCTCCACAGGCACTGATAAAGTAGCGCGGAGCGAGTGATGTCAGGTTTGCAATTACTGTTGTCTCGGGTTTGTTTCAGATCCACGTGAAACAGGGGTGTACATGTTCTGCGGAGCGGGGCTCGTACGGAACGAGAGGAAAACCAAATTACAGCGTCGTTAAACAAATATAATAACCAGCGGCGCGACGGGGATTTGCGGATCGTAGACTCAGAGGGACCCCTCCCCCCATATATTCAGCCAGCCCTAATTGAATTGTAGACATTCATTTTGTCAAAATTTCAACTTAATGATACACTAAAACAAACAAACAAACAAATAATGCGGAAAAGAAAGAAATTACCATAAAAATTTTACTTGAAGACTGTCCAGAACTTCCCGCCGACTTTAAATTTGCCCTATTTAACTTCGTGGTTCTGAGTATTATTCTAAGATCTGAGGTTTTCACGGCAGGCTGCAGTCACCTGCTCACGCTGGTTCCTCGCTCGTTGATTTTTGTACCCTGAAGATGGAGACGATACGTCCCTCCGAAACGTCGGTTCACACAAGATCTACACGGTGCCACATCCCAGAAGACTGCATCTTTCACTAACTATTATTATTAGGAATACTGTACTATTTCCGCGCCATATTGTGAGTGAACCGCTCATCACTGGGCAACGTAGAGGAAATATTTTACCTAATGGTAGCATTAAGAGCCGAAACATGTTGTAAATTAATACATAAAGTTTATACGGGAATTCTTAGTTCCGTGTTTTGCCGCTCTCAGCTCTCGCATGTAGCAGCGCTAGTTTTGGAAACAAAGGAACATTTTTGTATTCCAGGTTGTCGTGGCTGTGACTATGAAGGGCAGCATCTTCTGGTTTAGCTCAGAGAGAATCCGACGTTTCGGAGGAGTATTTCACTCAGCTTACCTCCTGATTCTGCTGGTTTCTTCCTTTGTTATTCTTTGTTCCTGAGGATGGAGGCCATATGTTCTTGCGAAACGTCTATCTGCCTCCGTATCCTACGTACGAATATTCTGTTTGAATGTCTGGTGTTCACGTTATGAGATGCGATCGTGTAGGTTGCCGCAAGACATGTTGCGGATTTCCATGCTTCTTATGGGCACCGAACGCGCCGGCCTTGCTGCTTGATTCCCCTGAGGAGCAGGTGTCGCTGACAGCGCGCTGATTCCATTGTTTTGTAGCGCAGTTTCTGCTGAAGTCAGCAGAATATTTAATTGTGACTAATGGCTCCGGGAGAGAAAAAAAGTTGCAGCAGTACAAAGGAAACGCAATCGCTGCTGCTACGTTCAGAGTTCAAGGTGAATCCTTATGAATGAAATTCTTCACGGCGTGCCTCAGATACTGACAGACGGAATGACTTACAGCGGAGATTTCCAAATTTTGTGACACTGCGACCGCCCCCCCCTATAATAATGGATAAATGTAAGCTCCCCCACATGATTAGAGCTAGTGACGCATTAGGATTAATGTGGGGATGTCTACACATTCACCATTGTCGGTGTTTACTTGCGATATATGTATTTAACATTTACACTCGTACTAAATACAAAGATTATACCTCCTGTCGTACAACTAGACATCATTCGTAGTCTACTTACTTTATTTTCGAAAATAAAAGTAGCCGAGACTGGCCTGGACGACTGAGAGATCGAAGCTCGAGTCCCGGTAGGCTCAAGAATTTTCTCCACGTCGTCCAGACCGGCTGTGGGGCTCACTCAGCCTCCTACCCAATGGATACCTGGGGCCATTTCCCCGGGGGTAAAGCGGCCGGGGCATGAACCTGACCACTCACCTCCAGCTAATGTCGAGGTCAAGAAAACATGGATCTATACATCCACTCCCCCATACGCCTTCATGGCGTAGTGCTTAATTAGTTAAGAACAGGGACAACTTTACCTTACCTATAAAAGGAGGCTTATGAGATCACCTTGCTGCCTGTCTCTCTATCCGCATGTCTGTGTATCCCCACCAAATTGTTGTCTCATGAGATTATGATATCACCTTGCTGCCTGTCTGTGTATCCTCCTAAATTTTTGTTAGGAGTGCATGTGTCTGCTCCCCATAAGAAATTGCTCTGCAGCTCCGGTACGCACAGAGACCAGCTGTGGGCCCACTACTCACAGAATGGGACGAAACCCATCGGCACCCCTTGCAGCAGGAAGGATTATTATCTGTTAACGTAGGCGGGAGGCATGCGTGCTGTGTGGCTGTAGCGGGTTAGCACAGTCGATAATTTTTATGGCTCATAAAATATCTCGCAGGCCAAGGCGGAAAAGGCGGTGGACAGGCGAGGAGGAGGGGAAGTCGCAATGTTTCCGCGTTCTGTAAGGTCTGTCAAACGCTGTGGATGAGGTGACATGGCTAAAAGAGACCTTCAGTAAAGAAGGAAGACGCATAAGAATTGTAGGGGAAACAGCATCAGCAACAAATGACCATACATCCAGCACGTTTAACAATTCAAATCCCGGAACAAAGTGAACATACAAAACCACATTGCATAACAAGGAGCTTCGTAACTTGTGTGCTTTCACAGGTATAAACAGAAAGAACAATTCAGTAGGATGGGATAGGAAGGGCATGTAGCACGCGTGAGACAGAAGGGGAATGTGTGCGGGGTTTTGGTGGAAAGCCAATGGAAAGAGACCACCATGAAAACCTAGACGTAGGTGGGAGGACAATATTAAAATAGATCTCAGAGAAATGGACTGGATTCATGTGGCTTAGGATAGGGAGCGGTGGAGGTCTCTTGTGAAAACGGTAATGAAAATTCGGGTTCCATAAAGGGCAGCGAAATTCTTGAGTAGCTGAGCGACTCATAGCTTCTCAAGATGGGCTCAGCTCCATGGAGTTAGTTAAGTTACTTACATTAAATCTTAATTTTATACGCTGTTTTGTATGGCTGTGAAATTGGGATTGTTGCTGCTAAGGAGAAATAATGTAACGCAATTTTTAAAAGGGTGACGTGTGAAAGACTGAACGGGAAATGGGGAGATATTCAGAATAGGAAACTCCGTCAGTTTCAGTATCTTCCCGTGGCGTTCTTCCAGGTTCTCAGTAACGAAAAAGCAAATATCTTTCCTAAGTTGTTTTCTGTTTATTTAACGATTGTAGAAGTACATGGGTTACATAATGTCTAAAATTATAATGGGGATCACGCAGTAGCATAGTTGGTTGAGGCTCTATGGTACATGTCCCAGGTTCGATTACAGATGAGGTCATCGGATTTTTCAATTGACCTTATCCTTCCAGCCACATTGCGACCCTTGGGTCGACTCAGCCTCTAACAGAATTGGGTACCAGGAATTTCCCTGGGGATAAAAGGAGGCTGGTTTGTAAGGCTGACAACTTCACCGCCATATGTCAGCCGATTGTCTTAAGTGGGAGCCTCGACGTCTCACAAGCCTACTGGCCACCACGCCCTGTTACAGGGATAGCTTTACCTCTTTACCGTTAACCAGATTATGATGATTTTAAACAATGAAAGGGGATAATTTGGAGGGAAGCGGGCATACTTTTAAGCGCTTAACTTGAGGGACTGAGGAAAATCATTACTATTTCAGCCAAGATAATAGAGGTTCACACAGACAATAGAACAGAGGGGCCCCAAATACGAAAAAATAAATATTTACAGGTATTCTCATGGCAGCGCCGGTCACGGTAGCCGAGCGGCCTAAGGCGTGTACTGTCTTCGCTCGCTCGGAAGCCGGGATCGTTGGTTCGAATCCCACTCAGGGCATGGATGTTTAGTTTGTGTGTGTTCATTTTTCTGTGTTTGTGTACAGGTAGAGGCCTTGCGACGAGCTGATCACCCGCCCAAGGAGTCCTACCGAATGTGTAAGATCTAGAAAAACCGAAGTGAACGGAGAAGTTCATTGAGGTAGGCCTAGGCCCACTGGGGCTCTAGTGCCAAGGAAAAGAAACAAATTCTCATGGCAGCTTTCAGACTCTGAATGCAAATTCGAGTTCATAGAAAACGAAGATGGATGTCGGATGAGGAACCGGGGATGAAAATTTGTTCGGTTTGAAGTTCTCACATCTGTGACTATTAAGAAAACTATCTGTCGTGTATGGCGTGGGGCAGTCTAGTAGAATTTCATCAATGGAGATAGTAAGTTTCTTTGAACCCTCGGACGTCTGTCGGACTGCACTGAATTACAATCTGTAAGACAGTACTTCGCAAAATGGATTTCATCTACACGCACTTGAAATCACGTGATTAGTAGGTAAATATCTGGAATCAGAATACTCTTCCAGTTACAGTTCATTTTTGAAACAACCCCCCTAACGTCTTTCATTTCCTGATTTTAAACGAAAACGGAATGATGTGTGTCTCGTATAATCTGCAAAATTCATGTGTGAGAACAGCTAAAGAGAAAATCCCTCCATCCGAGCTCACTCACACAATTCAATATTGTGGCATGTCTGCTGAAAACACGAATTGTGAAGCCAGTAGAGACAGCCGTTGTCATGGAACGGCTCTGCAAACACGCCCGTTGCTATTCAGTGATTCAGTACCCGTCACGTGATGGTCGCAAGAGACACGCAAGCAACAATAGAAGAGATGTTGGGAGCGGTGTTTTCTGTGCAGTCCGTGCTGAGGCTTTGTAACGAGGACCAACTGCCATTACGATTGAGTCGAGAAAGGGCCTGCAGGCAGACAGTCAGCTGAGAGTTGCAGAAGCTCTTAGCTGAGGCCGGGATCAATGCGGGAACCCAAAGGAAGAAGAATTTCCGCTGTTGGAAGCCGCTACCAAGCAAAGGCTAGTGAACAGAGTGATTGAGAACAATAGCCTCTGTGTGATAGTGATTTGAGAAGTGTAGTCACGAGTTTGTGTTAAATCCGATTATCATTCCAAAACCCGCCTCCAGTCACTCTTAATCACGTGATAGCGCGTCAGTGTTACTGAAGAATCTACTCAAACGCAGTGCCATAAACTTGAATACTTTGGGTCACATGACTAAATGTTTCATAACTGCGATACTATGACCATCACTTGTTATTTAAGACGCCGTCTTCTGTCATTGCGTCTGTTTGAAATAAACGATTTGCCCTTGGAAGCCATTTTGAGCAATGTTGCCATTTTCTGCGCCTTGTGCTGCCCATGGGCCCTCTTCTTGGATCCCCCCCACCACAAATCCGGAGGTGCTGAAAATGGCAGTGGTGTTGTGATCGTCTGAAACTCAGATGCTGAGGTTCCGGGTGTCGAATACGTTTCCTTAAACACCACGGGTGTAGTTTCAGTATCAGCTGCTGAAAATGGCTCAGTTGCATTGTTCCCAGAAGCGTCTGTAGCGCTGACAGTTGTCCCCGCGGATGTTCCTCTCTCAGTACCCATGCTGACTACCTCAGGAGAGGGGGCAGTAATGCTGGTTTGAAATCCATCAGGCTTGCCATCTTCTCCAACAAATCCATGCTTCTGTAACACGTCTTTTGTTGTGGCGTTAGTACTTGTAATCTGAGGTTTGTTTTCGGTAACCGAAAAGTATTTACCTGGTGTTTCTGTAGAAGTGTCGTCACAATTCTGAATCTGGGTTTTGTTTCCAGTTACTGAAGAGGTACTCCTCAACTCCTGATTTGCACTGTTATTACAGTTAAAGTTTTGCTTGTCCGATGTGTTCTCTGGTGGTGTACCGCGTTTCTCAAACACCTCAGAAGTTTTCGTTCGTCCTGACGAATTACTCATCGACACCGGCGCAGGATTCAGGCTGAAGTTCCTGAAGATATCAGCCGGGTTTTCCAGCCTTGTTGACGAAGAACCCGGCACTTCTGCGTCTGCACTCTTCATGGCCAAGCCCACCAGTAGGAGCATGAAAGCAAGAACTGTGAGGCCAAGCTGAAATTCACAGAATGAGTTTTACTTCAATATCTGTTTTTATATACCTACGATGTGACGAAATCACATTGCAAGGAAGTGCAGTGTGGAAAATGAGAGACGGAAGTAACATGTATAGTGTGCAACGTTGTATCAAAGTTCACAGCTGCATGACGTCACAGTCCTGGAGGCCATATTGGGAACACGCGAGAAACTCATCAAAAAATTGTAGATGGCTCTGGTTCCAGAAGGCCATATTGGGAACACGCGGGAAACTTATCAAGACAATTGTAGAGGGCTCTGGCTCAGCCAGCTCTCACTGCAGATGGACATCCCATGTGGCAGTATGGACTCTTAACACCGGAGTGAAGCTACGGAATAAAACTTTAAACAACGGGATCAAGTCGCGCAGTGTTTCACAGACAGAAATCAGAGAGGTAAATTTAAAATCACCTTGCAACTTTAGGCAACTATTGAATTCTTCATTTTACACCATGAAACTTAATGGAAAACTGAATATGTTTTAAAGTTGTTACGGTTGTAGAATTGAAGCCGGGAAAGCGCAGTCGGTATAGCGGCTAGCTACGGGCAGGACGACCGAGAGGTCGTAGTTCGAGTCCCGGTAGGATCAAGAATTTTCTCTTCTCCACATCTTTCAGACCGGGTCTGGGGTCCACACAACCTCCTATCCAATGGGTACCAGGGGCTCTTTCCCCCGGGAGTAAAGCGGTCGGGGCGTGAAGCTGACCACTCACCTCCATCTAGTGGCGAGATCAAGAAAACTTGGATCTATACATCCACTCCCCAATACGCCTTCATGGTGTAGTGTTTAATTAGTTAAGCACAGGGACAGCTTTACCCCTGCTTTACGGTTGTGGAATATGAGGCTGTCTTCTGGGATTTAGGGCCGTTTACCAACGTTTCGGTATAACCTGCTGCCTCTGTCTTCAGAGTAGAAGAGTTAAGTGCGTGGGGAAAACGATCAGTGTTCCAGGGAATGGTAAAAGACTGAAGCTAAGCGGTCTGCTACTATTGGTTCGCTTTTAGCTCCAGCCATTTTGCTCCATTCCTTACGCAACTAAGGCTTATTCTTCTGCCGTCAAAGTGGAGACATGAAGTTCATCGGAAACGTCAGTAAATCTCTCTACCAAACTATATGACGTCACGCCTCAGGACACAGTAATCCTCACAGTCTCCGAGGTGAGGTCTTGAAATCTCACATAGTGAGCGAGTGTCTGAGATTTTGAACTATAACTTCGAATCCATGCGGATAGTCGTTCATACGAATTCCTTATCACTCCGTGTGTTACTTCCAGTCTTGCTGTGTTCTTCTTCTGTCTCGTCGGACTATACTCTCTGACCTGTTCCCATCTAAAATTAATTCTGGAACTGTGAATCTTGTAGGCAGTCGGTAGGACTCCCTGGACGGAGGATGAGCCCGTCGCAAGGCCGCTATATACACACAGAACAACACAAACACAGAACAAACGTAGGCAGACGTCCATGTTTCGAGTGGGATTCGAACTCACGATCCCAGTCTTTAAGAGGGCAGAAAAGTTTCAAAGTTGCCATGTTCAACGAAATAAGTAAATATTGTCATTGGATAAGGTGTATCTGTCCTTACCATGATTAGTGTAGTCCTCAGCAGCAGAATTAGTCAGCCGTCTGCCTCCGCTCGAACAGAAACTATAGCTCAGTGACAACGGTGTTAACTGTGACAGCAAGTGCTCCCTAAGTGACGGACATCAATATATATTGTCCCTAATTTCAATTGTTCCACTCAAACTCTCTCTTATCTGCGCTCTCTATTATCTTATTAAACACGAGAAGAGTATTAACCACTTGCAATTTGTTAATCAGATATCCTGTCTGAAGAAGGGAGACACAAGTAACAGGTCGTGAAGGCCCATAGGGTTGTGAGATGTTGAGGCTCCCACATTTTCTAGACAATCGGCTCATAGATGGCGGTGAGGTTGTCAGCCTTACGCGCCGGCCGCGCTTTACTCCCCAGGAAAATTATTTAATTAATTCCTGGTACTCATTTCTGTTAGAGGCTGAGTCGACCCCAGGGTCATAGTGCGGCTGGAAGGATTAGGTCAACTGAAAAAAAATCCAATGACCTCATCGGAACTTGAACCCGCGATCTTCCTGCTTGTAGCATAGTGCCTCAACCAACTACGTTACCGCCCTGGCCGAAATGAGCTTCGCGAAATTGTAAATTGTGCTCGAAATAAGCTGTGATTATTATTATTTTAGAGTGTTTTCTGTATGGTCGAACTGTGTCTTTAATTACTGTCTAGTACTGCTTGAAAAGTATTAACTGCGTAATAATTATAACGTTTTCAAAAATAACCTGTACCACGTGGTTATTTCATTTTTAGTGAAATGTATACAGACGAATGAATGAATTTTAACTCAAATACAATTTTGCATGGAAGAAGACACGAAAAAAAAAAGATGCTTCGTATGTTATGTGAGTCGGTGCTTGAAATAAAATTTCACTGACCAAGCACTCAGCACATTATCTCAAGTACTGTCCGTCTTGATTATCTGAAATACTGCCCTTGGGCCTGCTATATTCATGCAATCGAGACCTTCAATTGTCTTCATTCGGGAACCTGATTCGTCCAGGGAATAGCATCGTTTTGTAGCTGCTACAGAACGTTGCTCTAAAGCGGGTCGTATCTCTCTTTTCGTATTCGGAAGGCCCAGAGACATTTTGTGTAACCGTGGGGATTTTAAATGCTTTCCTCATTCCTTCGATTAAGTTGTCCGCACAAAGTTGTTCCTGTACTTAGCTAATTAAGTACTACGCCATGGAGGAGTGGATATATAGATCCACGTTTTCCTCACCTCTGTTTTAGTTTCAGGTTAGTTGTCAGCTTCACGCCCCAGTCGCTTTACCCCCGGGGGAAAATCTCCCCTTATACACTGGATAGGAGGCTAGGTGGGCCCCCGTACCGGTCTGGACGTGGAGAAAAGAAAATTCTGGGTCTACTGGGACTCGAAACCCGACCCCTACATAGTCCAACCCGTAGCTGAGCTGAGCCATCCCGGCTCCTACAAATGTCAGGATAGTAAGTACAAGTAGGTGTGGGCCGTATCCTTTCAGTTACTTTCCCATTCATTTTTGGGCGCTCTTTCTGTCTTCCGATACAAACGTGAGCTGCTGAAAGAGTTCGTCTAACACCAAGACATGAGGGAGGGTTTGGGAACGGAAGCAGAGCTACCTCTAGCTGAATGTGAGAAGTGAGTCTTGTTCTGGAGACCGTTGCAGAGGCTGGTACAGCGGTGGAGCTGTGGGTTTGGTTCGAATCGTGGCCAAGTTACCGACTCTTCCTCGTGGTAGGTTCCAGGGCAGCAACTTGAAGGAAGCCACAAAACCCTCTTCAAATATCCTCAGGTACTCACCGCTCATGGTCACTTTCCCATCTCATTTGCCACTGTAAAATCCAGTGCCCCAACGCAGCTCAACAGCGATGCTGAATAATGCAGTAATCAAATATCTTTTTAGGAAATATTCCTGATACTTAAGATGGCCAGAGTATAGTCTTTGCACAACATCTTTCACAACAAAAATTAAATAAAGGAAGTAAATGAACAATAAAAACATTCGCAGGTTCGATTCCCGATGAGGTCATTGAATTTTTCTTTTGACCTAATCCTTCCAGCCGCACTATGGCCCTGGGGTCGACTCGGCCTCAGAAATGAGTACCAGGAATCTTCCTGTGGGTATAGGGCGGCCAGCGCGTAAGTCTGACAAACTTACCGCCATCTGTGAGCCGATTGTCTAGAAAATATGGGATCCTCGACGTCTCAGAACCGTACGAGTCTCCACGGCCTGTTACAGGGATAGCTTAATTTTTTTTCTAAATAAGAAGAAATGTCCCGAAACAAAATTTTACGCCACACAAACGATCATCTATGTTAACGCACTGGAGTTGAATCATCTGATGATACGTAAATGTGAGAGAGGTTAATTGCTTTTACCACAGAAAGAAATCACACCCTTCGCATTACTAATACAATACACTTTACTATACTGTAGTCATAAAACGCCTTCTGAAATACAGCACAGTACAGTAACTATTTTCTTAGAAATAATAAATTTTTTTCACCTGATTCTCACCGATTAGATTCATGTCCCGTCAAGGTCTGTTTCAGTCATAACGTCCTCTTCTCGTGGAGTTGCCACATGTCCATCACATATTTGATAAAACCCAAATCAAGATACTATTATTTCCTGTTATACACTAATTTAAACGTCTATGGAGTGCATGTAAACAACACTTCGTTGTCAGAACTCTTCGCGCAGCTTACACGACGTCTCTTCATGCTGCAACAGTACGTTAAGACACAGAGGACATTGCGGAATAGTCGGCTTGTTGTGAACCACACTTTCATGTCGCCTTGCTCTCTGACTCTCGACCGTTTACATGAACTGCATACACGTTTCGAATGTTGGTACATGTGAACTGTTTATTCACGTATTTTCTTTTGCAATTTCTAGTTAAGCAGAGGTATTATCCGAATATTATGCGCGATTCCTTGGAGTCGGATTTGACAGAAGTATTATCCCCTCTCCTTCTCGCTTGAGGAACTGTTCCTACCAATCGAGGCCATCCCTTCGTGTCCCAGATGTAATTTCGCCCGTACATTTTTTCGGGTATTTTCTGTCCTTCGGGTAATAACATTCTTTGTTCAAGACCGTCCATTTCGGATCTGGAGCGGGTGTTTTCTTCCAAAAAATTATTTTGATGATTATTTTGTTGACTTCTCTGTGTAGGATTCACGTTTGGAAGGCGCAGTGGCACATGAGGATGCTCTTGAAAGACGATTGGCGAATCGTTATGAAGTCTCTTCTTAGCTGAAATTTTGACATAATTGTCCTCCGGCTCAGGCGTAGTCTCCACAAGTCTGGGCCATCCTTTACGGTCCCAAATATAGTTCGGCCCATACATTTCTTCCGGTATACTGAATCCCTCGGGCAACAACATTCTCTGCTCAATACCTTCCCCGTTTGTCCACAAGTTTGTCCTACCGCCATGCGAATTTATCGAAGGAGAATTCGTGTTCGGAAGTACCAGTGGGGTGTCAGCTTTCTCCCTGAAGACAATAGGTTTCTCCTCAGCGTTCGGCCTCCCCTTCGCTGACCCATTGTCGGGCCTCCACGGGGCAGAGTTCGTGGTTTGTGGCCCTGCTCTTGTGTGATCAGAATCACAAGAATTGTGGACAGATGGATAGGCAAACGGTAGGAGCATTCGTCGGCTTACAGACTTTTCGTTATTGTTTCTTGCTGTGAGGCTTGTTGAAGCGATGTTGGACGATACACACACCATGACCATAACACATTGTGCGATCACGGAAGACACCTGAAATTAAAATATTTTAAATAAACAACAATATAATAGTGAAGTGGATATTAAAGTTCTGACTGGATCCATTTTAGTGCCGATAGAGACCACTAGTTGGTTCTGGTAACATAGAAATGAATGATCAGCTTCCATAAAGGTGGGAATGTTTAGAGTAGCTGAGCGACTGTTAGCTCCTCAAGAAATAGTCTGCTTCATGGATTTAGTTAGTGTCCGTGTTCCTAGGCGTGGCCGTTCTCCACAGAATTGGCAGTGGCCTTGATAGAGTCGAGATCAAGTCTGATGGGAGTATACAATTTATAATAGGGCCTTAGTTACAGTGCGTCACCCTGTCTCCCACAATGCAGCTGCAACCACTATCCAGCTACTTCCTGACATATTTCACACTTGCAACCCATATATCAAGCCTGAGGACAAGCCCTGTAATTGGCTGAACATCGATACTGACGTGAGAGCGAAGTTAGTATAAGTACATGAGCACTTGACGGCCGATAAAAATTACCGGCAGAGAAGTTAAAATTCTCTCTATATAGCTGAGACAGACAGCCTCCAGGATAATGGCCACAACAAAGTAGCACGATTGTAGTTCAACCCGTTACCAGGCAACGACATATGGACCGTCGGTTGTTGTGAGAAGTTGGTAGTTGAGGCCGGGGACAGTTCGGGAACCCAGAGGAATGAGAACGTCCACCGTTGGAAGTCGCTATCAGGCAACGGCTAGTGAAGACTCAGGGGATTAAGGAGTCTTGATGTGTGCTTTAGTGAATTGTAGACTGAGTTAATTGGTTATTGCTATATAATTAATTGTTAATTAACGGTTTGTAAGATTGCAATAAATCCACTTGCCAATCCAAACTCCATCTATAATCACTCCATCACGTGACAACATTATTAATTTTACAATTTAATTTGCTTACATATGGTTTATTTGCCTCCTGCTTGTCATCATCATCATTATCGTAGTGTAACAGAATTGTTGTCATTTAAATTGATCTGCCCTGTTTGTGCAACTGGCATTGTGACTGGCAACTTATTGCGAAATATGAAACTTATCACGTAATCACATGACAATTGAGAACGCGCCATTATGAAGCCATGTTTTTTATACAAAACAGAATATTCCAAGAACCGGGAGAGCTCAGTCGGTATAGCGACTGGCTACGGACAGGACGAAGGAGGTGTCGGATTTCGAGTCCCGGTAAGGTCAAGAACTTTCTCTTCTCCACGTCGTCCAGACCGACTCTGTGGTCCACTCATCCCCTTATCCCACGGGGTACAAACGGGCTCTTCCCCGGGGGTAAAAAGGCCGGGGCGTGAAGCTGACCACTCACCTCAAGCTAGTGCCGAGATCAAGAAAATGTGGATCTATACAACCTCTCCCCCATACACCTTCATGGCGTAGTGCTTAATTAGTTAAGCACAAGGACAACTTTACTTACACAGAATACTCCACTGACTAATCTAGTAACAAATTAGCAACTAACGTCATTTCCTCAGCAGCTTTAGTTATTAAGTCCCAGTTCAAAACAATCAACATAAAAGCGTAACATCCGATCCCGTGTTGAGCCAGTTGAATCCACACAATTTTATGGGTTTCGATATATATCGCAAGCAAGAGCTTACCATGATGCGGCGTCCAGCACACGGTCCCGTCAAGATGGCACTGCTTGCTACAGTCGCTTGCTGGACGGTTTCCGTTCTGCAGTGACTCACATCGGAGGATGTGGTTGTACATCCGGCATCACAAGTTTTTCCCTAACTCAGGGATCACCAACCGTACTCATACGCACACAGGAGCCGTGATTGCCAGCTTAATCAGTGCTTAATTAGTTAGCACAGGGACAACTTTACCTTTATCTTAGAGAGATTGGTTGGGGTTGTATGGATTGGATCGATTTGGATAGGGACCAGTGGAGGGCTCTTGTGAACAAGGTAATGAACCTTCGGGTTCCATAAAATGTTGGGAAGTTATTGAGTAGCTGTACAATTGGCAGCTTCTCAAGAACGGCTCAGCTCCATGCAGTGAGTTAGTTATTTTATTTGAATATAATTGAAGGGCGCTAAATCAAGTAACTTCTGACGTACAAAGTTAATACCAAGTTTGGTATGAATCCTCCCATTGGATCAGAAGTTACAAGATGGAGCGCTTGCACTCAAGCACAGATACTGTCATTTAAATGTATAATTTTCATTGAATTTTCTTAAGTAGACGAATTGTAGAGAGCAGTAACNTGATCTGGATAGGAACCAGTGGAGGGCTCTTGTGAACAAGGTAATGAACCTTCGGGTTCCATAAAATGTTGGGAAGTTATTGAGTAGCTGTACAATTGGCAGCTTCTCAAGAACGGCTCAGCTCCATGCAGTGAGTTAGTTATTTTATTTGAATATAATTGAAGGGCGCTAAATCAAGTAACTTCTGACGTACAAAGTTAATACCAAGTTTGGTATGAATCCTCCCATTGGATCAGAAGTTACAAGATGGAGCGCTTGCACTCAAGCACAGATACTGTCATTTAAATGTATAATTTTCATTGAATTTTCTTAAGTAGACGAATTGTAGAGAGCAGTAACTTTTACAGCCAATTCACCAATATTTATGTGCGATACCAACGGCTTATAAAAGCGAAAGTAGGCAACAAGGCCTTAATAAATATTCCTTATCTATACTGCCTCAAAATAACTCCGCTTTTTCGAAAGAAAAGTGCGATTTTAAACTACCCCAAATAATTATAATTTTTAGTGGCTAGAAATTAGTCACTTCATAAATTTTAATTTCTGTCACCCCAAATTTTTTGGATTTTAACATAATCCAAGAGGACGTGTTCTGCCGGTCACGGTAGCCGAGCGGTCTAAGGCATGTACTGCCTTCGCTCGCTTGGAAACCGGGATCGTGGGTTCGAATCCCACTTAGGGCATGGATGTTTAACTTGTGTGTGTGTGTGTGTTTTTCTGTGTTTGTGTATAGGTAGAGGCCTTGCGACGAGCTGATCACCCGCCCAAGGAGTCCTGCCGATTGTGTAAGATCTAGAAAAACCGAAGTGAACGGAGAAGTTCATGGAGTAGGCCTTGGCCAATTGGGGCTGTAGTGCTAAGGGGGGAAAAAAGAGGACGTGTTCAGCATCTCCTGCAGCTAATGCCTCAATAATTAAATTCTGTGTACATAACGCCTGTAATTCAATTTCATAATATTAGTATCAGATTGCATTACTTCTTGTTTACTTTTGGCGAGATGGAGCCTGTTGGACAGCCTTGAAATGACCTGATGGAGCAAAGAGAGAACTAACTTACAGAAAGAGAAGGAGAGTTGACGTGTAGACCCGGAAAGTCTGCTCTCAGTAGCCAGCAAAATAACTGCAGAGTTAACTGATCATTCGAATTTACCGAATTGTGAGTCGATTAACACAGATCCCTCGTCACGGCACGTTGTCTTCCTATTCTGTTGATATTTGTACCTGTTTTAGCATCTTCTGACCTTAAGCATTCAACAAGAACTCCGTGGTTTTAGTCCGCAAGCGAACTATACCGACCGAGCGACCGCCGCTTGTCGGCGAAGTTAGTGTCAACTTTAGCGGATAGAGGGTGTCACGTGGTCAGCGCAACGAATCCCCACGGCCGTTAATTTCGGGTTTCTAGACCGGATGACCTTGAGCATTCACTTTAATTTCTTCTTAAATATAAGCTGAATCGGAAGAGAAAAATATTTTTCAATTAGAAACTCCAGACAGGAAACACGTGCTTTCCTCTGGGTACATTGAGTTGTAGGACTTTAGCGACGGAGGATCTACACGTTGCGACGCCTCTTACCCAGGACAAGAAAATGTTGGCAAATCAACATGTACATCCTGAAATATGGCCCTGGATTCGACTCAGCCTCTAACAGATAAGAGTACCAGAAATCTTCCTGGGGTAAAGGGCGACCAGTGCGTAAGGTTGACAGCCCCACCGCCTTCTGTGAGCCTGTTGTCTACAAAATGTGTATCTCGATGTCTCATTAATCCTATGGGCCGCCAGGACCTGTTACAAGGATAACGTTACCTTTTTTTACCTTGCCGACTTCGAAAGCCGTCAAGATAGAAGCAGAAGAAGAAGGAGGAGGTCGAGGAAGAGGAAGAGGAGGAGGAAGATTCTACAGCTGAACTCTTTAACTCTTGTACATTTGTTCTTGTCTTTTTATGTTTCGTGAAGTGTTCAGTCAAGAGAGACAGGACTAAGCAAGACGGATGCTGCTCCCAGCTGCCGGGTATCTGTGTCACGTCCGCGTGAGAGTGTACCTCGAGCCCTGAACTGCTGGCAACGCTGAACACTTTCAGTTTCAGACGCCCCAGTCTAACAAGAATAACACCCGTGCTCCGTGTGCTCTAACTCACGAAAAGGATTCAAGAAGAAGAAAGGGAAACGCGTGATAAAGAACGAACAAAAGTCATAGCGTTTCTGACTTTCACTTTTGACGGTAGTAAATTCGCTTCAGAGCAGGAGAGGTCGCCAGCTGTAATGTGTTTCCCACTGAACAGACACCTGTGTAGCAACATGTTCACATTCACCGCGAAGGACTCGCTCACAAAAGTGGGATCTTGCCGTCCAACATACAATGACTTCAATGTTTCATTCATATTCAGCAATTATTGTATTCACGTCAGGCATATCAATGTGTCTGGGTCCTGTTGGCGTGTCGAGGGGGAAGCGGTGGGGGACGGAGGTAGAGGAACAGGAGTAGGGGAAGCATCCATTCGCCATTTGCACTCAGTGAGGCGGTACCTGGCGGATCGTTTGAGATCCGATATTTTCGCGACAGTGAAAAATTACGATTTTTCTCGTGTAGGTTATGACCAACGCCCCTTGGAAGTGAAGATTCATAGTGCGGTTTCCCTGGATGTCAGCGTGTTTCAGGGTTGATATCCACTTCAGCCCTCAAGTTGGAGATAGTATTAGTTCCTTATATATCAGTCATTGTGCCATTCGGTGCTATAAGATATCGTCTGGGATACCCACACCGTGTGTGCCTCTAAGTATCACTTCATGAAGGTGCATTAAAACTTAAAGATAGGACTTCAACTCCGATACTAAATTGAGGTTACTGATCAGCTTAGCGCCTCGACAATCTCCCATCCTCACAGCCTGTTTCCCTAAGATCCGTCTTACTAATTAACTGACTCTCTGGCAGCAGAACCCGAGGATTTAACACCGGTAATACCAAAGCCCGCCACTGGACACGATCCTGAGCCAGTTCCATCCACTTCTATGCTCACAACCCATTTCCCTAAGATCCATCTTACTAGTTAACTCTCTGGTAGTAGAACCCGAAGTTTCAACAGCGCTAATACCAAATCCCGCCACTGGACACGACCCTGAGCCAGTTCCATCCACCTCCCATCCTCAACCTATTTCCCTAAGATCTGTTTTACTAATTAACTAACTCTCTGACAGCAGAACCCAAAGGTTCGACGCCGCTAACAGCAAAACCCGCCACTGGACACGGACCTGAGCCAGTTCCATCCTACAATAGAACAGCAAAGGCTACAAAACCTCTGTAGCTGATATGGAATGCGGGTTCACGTTGCGTGCGGAACACACGACCACATGCGCTTATACCGGCTGCACCAGAGACGAGGTCGACTGATATGTCTACCGCACCCGTCGCCTCTCAACACGATCGGTTTTACTGTTTACGCTATCTCGTGGAGAACGTCTGAAGTGCACTCAGTATACCACGCTAGCTCTCTCGTTTAGGAGCTTACCTGCCGTGCCCGACCCACGGTCCTCTCTTCGCAATAAGCGCCTTCTGCCGAAGGAACGTGTGTTTGTAACCGGCCTAAGACGTAGATCTTTGTGCGGGGCTTATGAGCACAAAACAGCCTACTATTTGTCACAATTCACCTCCACCACAGCGTGAATTTATATAAAAAAAACTCTCTGTAAGGTCGTGAAGGCCCATAAGGTTGTGAGACGTCGAGCCTCTCACATTTTGTCTAGACAATCGGCTCACAGATAGCGGTGAGGTTGTCAGCCTTACGCACCGGCCAGCGGCCCTTTACCCCCAGGAAGATTCCTGGTATTTATTTCTGTTAGAGGCTGACTCGAACCCAGGGCCATAGTACGGCTGGAAGAATTAGGTAAACTGAAAAAAATCCACCTCATCGTGACTCGAACCCACCACCTTCCGGCTTGTGGCATGGTGCTTCACTTAACTACGCTATCGCGTGCCTCAGCATGGATTTATATATAAAATATTAATTCACTGGGAGTGATTAAAATTATTGACCTGTATCATAAGAATGAAACTTCCTGAGAAAAGAAGTTATTTGTGTAGGATTTGAGGTTCTCACAGAGTTCTGTTTTCTGGGCTATAATGCCGTGTAGTCCGTTGAGAGTCAACGGCGTTCCGGACTATAGACTATAGTCGGGGTATGAATTGATGAACGGATTTACTAGACTATTATGGCCGCGCCATAGCTCAAGCGGTTAGTCGCTGGCTTCCCACCGCGGCGGCCTGGGTTCGATCCCGCGTCTGATCAAGTGGGATTTGTGGTGGACAAAGTGGCACTGGGGCAGGTTTTCTCTGATTACTTCGGTTTCTCCTGCCAATCTTCATTCCACCAATTGCTCCATAATCGCCCTCGCCTATCATCGGGGGCTGGTACAATAGGCCAGAAGTGGCCGCAGTACAAGGGACTCAGTCCCACCCCACTAGCA